GTGATTCACAAGGAATTTTTACAGTGTCGCCAGGCAAACTGAACATACTCACATCTACAAATAAAATAACAGTACAGGGTGAGTCAACGATAGAATAAAATCCATTATCTCTTTTGTTTCAAGGTTTACAAAAAAAATTTTAATATAAAAGTTATAGGGAAGGCTAAGATACACATTTTAAAATTATTATAGAGTGTACAGGGTGTTTTTTTAAATGCAACACCCTGTTTTTATTTTAATTTTAGATTCTGCGTAAAGTTCTATAACTTTTTTGTATATAATGTTATATACCTAAAATTTATAGTTTTTGGAATATTTTAATTTTTTAATGTTAGATTTCAGTGTGGCAAAAAATTGTCAGTGATGCCATTGTTTCTGAAGTATTGGACTACTAAAATTTGGTAAGAGAGTTTTATAGAGATGAAGTAAAATATATATTTATGTAAAGGTATTTTAGTTTTAAAAATATATATATGAATTTCTAATTTTTAAAATTAAAAAATATCAAATTTTTTAAATGACACACCCTATATATTATCATTTTTTCTGATAGATTTTACAAAATTCTTCGGTGTATTTAATTTTAAATAATTGAAATTTATAAATATATTTTATACACCCTGTAGCATCTAAACAAAATATTTTTACATATATCTTTTTCTTCGTCTCTATAAAACTCTCATACCAAATTTTAGTAGTCCAACTTCAGAAATAATGGCATCAATGACAATCTAACATTTGTTTAAACAAATTGAAATATCACGAAAACTATTACTTTTAGGGAAATAACATTTTATACAAAAAAGTTATAGAATTTTACGCGGAAACTAAAAATAAAATAAAAAATAGGGTGTTGCATTTAAAAAAACATATGTTATATCCGCCAAACTTTTTTGAGACAGCCTGTATACTCTATAATAATTTTAAAATGTGTATCTTAACCTTCCCTATAACTTTTATATTTAACATTTTTTTGTAGACCTCGAAACAAATGATACAATGGTATTTACTCTACCCTGAAATCTTCATTGTTTTTTTTATCAAAATTTAAATTAGGCCAACAAAACTTACCGGTCAAATTCAAGGAATAATCTCCAAAAAGCCCCTCCATATTCTTATGTTCAACTTGGTCCTCTTTTTTCTTCAAGCTGTCCAAATAAAACAAACTTCTTCGATGTCTCAAGGTAGTGGGTTCGGTAGAGTTTTCTAAATTTAGTCCATGAGTAAGCCTCAAGAATTTATTACAATAACTCCCTGAAGGTTTTACAGGCTCTTTCTGATTGACCTTCTTCGATATTTCATCCAGGAAACTCTTTACATCGCAAAAACAATTGTTTCCCTCTTCGTAATCAGTTTTTTTGCAAGCCTCGTGAGCTATATCAATGAATTCTTTGTTCTTTTCAGTTGAAGAACTTAAGTTATCTGCGCCGATATCCAGGTATTCTAATTTGAAATCGGAAACAGGTTTCTTTAGGACACTTTCAAGCATAGTTTCATTAAGTTTTGCCAGTTTTTTTCCCGAATTGTTTATAATTATAAGTAAAGGTTTTGCTGTTCCTTCACTAGCAGATTCTTCTTCTTCTTCGATGCTACTTGATAACGGAGGCCCGTGAGTGTAAGGAAACTTTTCAGTAGTTTTAATTTTATGAACCCCCTCTTCTTCTTCTTCTTCTACTTCTTGAGATATTTCTTCAGCTGTTAACGTAGATTCTTCTTTTTCTTCAGAACCCTCTGTTTCCTCTTCAACTGTGGATGAATGTACAACAGAAGATTTTTCTTCTTCTTCTGATACATTTTCGGTTGTTCTGTGTTCTTCAGTTTCTTCTTCAGAAACATGTTTTGCTTCAGCTGTTTTTTCTTCATGCTCCTTAGTATCTTTATCACAAAATTCACACGGTGTAGTTTCAGATCCAAAGTCCCCAAGCTCTTCAACTTTTGTCGATATAATTTCTTCTTCGTTTGTATGTTCAATAGGTTTTTCGATAATTGTTGTATGTTCCAGAGCAACGGAAATTTCTTCAGAAGCATGTTCTTCTTCTTCCACTTGTTTATTTGTTTCAGGTTTTAAGTGTTTATGTTCAGAAACTTCTGTTTTTAATTCTTTTTCAATATTCTCTTCTTCTTCTTCATTTATAGACTCTTCACTAACAGTCTTTTCATGTACAATTTCTAAAAAATATAAATAATATTAATAACAAGTAATTTTCATAATATTTATTTGTACCTGTATGGCTTTCTTCAGATTCTGTTTCTTCAGCAATATTTTTTTCATTTGAATGAGGAGTCTCTTCAGGTTCTGTCATTAGTTCATTAGATTCTATATAAAAAATACATTTGTAAACATGTAGGTATACAAACTTGTCAAAAAAATATAATCATGACAGATATAATTAGTTACCTGTAATTTTAGAACCTTACCTGATTCAATTGTCAACTTCGAAGTTCTACTGGCTGATATTTCTTCTGTGATCGATTTAAGAATTTCTTCATCTGTTGCCTGGGTGATTTCTGTATCAGCTATGCTTGTTGTATCAATGTCTTCATCAAATGTTTCGTTTAGTTGATGACTGATACCTTTTACGTAGTCTGTATGGAGGTGTATTTCGTTTATAGTTTCTAAGTGTTCTGTCGGCATTTCTTCAGCGTCTGGTAGTAATGTGTGGCCTTCGAAGAGTTTTCCTAATTTTTCTTTGCTTAAAATTTGCAATTCGACTTCTTCTGTAGATATACCTTCTATTGGTTCTTCAGTTTCTGTTGTGCTAATAGTTTCAATTTCTACACCTCCAGATTCAGAAGTTTCTTCAGATTCTGTTTCAACTCTATGCATTTCTTCCTTAGATGTTGTATGTTTCAATTCTTCAGAAATATTTTTTTCTCTTTCTACACTCTCTGCTGTTTCAGTAGTTTCCTTTAAAAGGTTCTTCAGGCTCAGTTTCAATTGATTGCTCAGAAATATCTTCCTCTATTGATACATTTTCAGGTGTTTCTTCAACTCCTGTCTCAGGAGCTTCGGATTCAGTGGTTTCGCCTAAGATTTCTTCAGATTCTGTTTCAATTGAATGCTCTTCTTCTTTAGATGCTGTATGTTCTAATTCTTCAAGCTCTGTATGAACTGAATGCTCAAGAATGTGTTCCGTTGACGAAGCTTCAGTTTTTTCTTCAAATTCTGTCTGAGGAGCTTCTGATTCAAGAGATTCACCTAAGGTTTTTTCAGATTCTGTTTCAATTGACTGTTCTTCTTCCCCAGATTCTGTATGTTCTAATTCCTCAGAAATATTTTTTTCTGTTTCTACACTCTCTGCTGTTTCTGTAGTTTTTCCTAAAGTTTCTTCATATTCTGTTTCAACTGAATATTCAGAGATATATTCTTTTGTCGATAAACCTTCTAATTCTTCCTTAATTTCTGTTTCAGTAGTTTTTTCTAAAGATTCCTGAGATTCTGTTTCTACTGACTCCTCTTTTGTTGATAAATCCTCAAGATTTTTCTCAATTTCTGTCTCACTAGATTCTGACTCAGCAGTTTCCTCTAAAGTTTCTTTAGACTGCGTTTCATGACCTTCTGATTCAATAGTTTTTCCTAGAGTTTCTTTAGACTCTGTTTCATGAGCTTCCGATTCAGTAGTCTCCTCTAAAATTTCTTTAGACTGTGTTTCATGAGCTTCTGATTCAACAGTTTCCCCTAGAGTTTCTTTAGACTCTGTTTCATGAGCTTCCGATTCAGTAGTCTCCTCTAAAATTTCTTTAGACTGTGTTTCATGAGCTTCTGATTCAATAGTTACCTCTAGAGTTTCTTTAGACTCTGTTTCATGAGCTTCCGATTCTGTAGTCTCCTCTAAATTTTCTTCAGACTGTGTTTCATGAGCTTCTGATTCAATAGTTTCCCCTAAAGTTTCTGTAGACTCTGTTTCAGGAGCTTCCGATTCAGTAGTCTCCTTTAGAATTTCTTTAGACTCTGTTTCATGAGCTTCTGATTCAATAGTTTCCCCTAAAGTTTCTGTAGACTCTGTTTCAGGAGCTTCCGATTCAGTAGTCACCTCTAAAATTTCTTTAGACTGTGTTTTATGAGCTTCTGATTCAATAGTTTCCCCTAAAGTTTCTTTAGATTCTGTTTCATGACCTTCCGATTCAGTAGTCTTCTCTAAAGTTTCTTTAGACTGTGTTTCATGACCTTCTGATTCAAAAGTTTCCTCTAAAGTTTCTTTTGACTCTGTTTCATGACCTTCCGATTCAGTAGTTTCTTCTAAAATTTCTTTAGACTGTGTTTCATGAGCTTCTGATTCACTAGTTTCCCCTAAAGTTTCTTTAGACTCTGTTTCATGAGCTTCCGATTCAGTAGTCTCCTCTAAAAATTTTTTAGACTGTGTTTCATGAGCTTCTGATTCAATAGTTTCTTTAGACTCTGTTTTATGACCTTCCGATTCAGTGGTCTCCTCTAGAATTTCTTTAGACTGTGTTTCATGAGCTTCTGATTCAATAGTTCCCCCTAGAGTTTCTTTAGACCCTGTTTCATGACCTTCCGATTCAGTAGTCTCCTCTAAAGTTTCTTTAGACTGTGTTTCATGAGCTTCTGATTCACTAGTTTCCCCTGATGTTTCTTTAGACTCTGTTTCATGAGCTTCCGATTCAGTAGTCTCCTGTAAAATTTCTTCAGACTGTGTTTCATGAGCTTCTGATTCAATAGTCTCCCCTAAAATTATTTCAGACTCTGTTTCAATTGACTGCTCTTCTTCTTGTGATTCTGTATGCTCTATTTCTTCAGAAATATTTTCCTTTGTTGATAACTTTTCTAGTTCGGTTTCAACAGATTCTTTTTCTACGGATATTTCTGTCTCTACACTTTCTTCTATTTCCGTAGTCTCCCCTAAAGATTCTTCAGATTCTGTTTCAATTGAATGCTCAACAATATGTTCTTCTGTTGATAAGCCTTCTAAAGACTCCATAATTTCTGTTTCAAGAGCTCCAGATTCTGTAGTTGTTTCTAAAGTTTCTTTAGATTTTATTTCTATTGACTCAACTTCTGTATCCATAGCTTCTGATTCAGTAGTCTCTATATTCTCTTCTTCAGATTCTGTTTCAGCTGATTCAACCATTCCTTCTTCTAACGTTAGTAGTTCAATTTCTATTTCAGGAATTGTTTCTGTAGTTTCTTCTAAAGGTTTCTCAGGTTTCTTGTGTTCGAATTCTTGAGAAATATGTCCTTCTGTTGGAAATTTCCTGAATTGTTCTTCAGGAGTATTTGATTCTGCAGATTCTGCAACTTCAGTTACTGATTCTATTTCTTCGGCTAGTAACTCGCGAGGCTTAGTTTCTTCTTCAACTGATATCTCTGAGCTTGATTCATGTTCGTGAGCTATTGTTATTTCACTCTCTACAGCCTCTTTCGGTTCGGTTGTCTCTTCTGAAGCTTCTTCAGTTTCTTCAAGCACCGATTCTCTAGAAACTGCTTCTTCAGTTGACTGAAATTCTATTTGCTCTTCAGTCTCAGTTTCCAACTCAGTAGTCTCCAGCCTTGATTTTAACTCTTCTTCTGATGTTTCTATTGTTGCTTCGAATACAGAAGATTCCTCAGATGTTTTTTCAGATTCTTCTTCTGTAAGTGACGAAGAATATTCTTCTGTAAGCAGAAGAGTACTTTCTTCTTCAGCACTTTCCGGTTTAGTGGAAAACGATACATTCGTCTTTTCAGCAGATGCTTCTAAAGTAGCTTCCTGCTCTTGTGTAGATGTTCCAATATTTTCTATATTTGTATTTTCACCTTTAGTAGTTTCTTTGGATTCTCCCTCTGAAGAAGCAAAACTATGTTCCTCGATAGTTTCCTCCTCTGTTTCCTCAACCTTTTCTGTCAATTCTTCTCCCTGAGTTACTTCTTCATGCCTCCATGTTCCTTCTTCAGATTCTACTGTAGTAACTGATTTTTCTGCGATTTCTGTTTTATATTCTGATGATTCTGTAATTGTATTTTCAGTACTTTCAGTAATCTCGGTTTCTGAAATAGATATTTCAGACTCTGTGGTTTCTGATTCCAATTTAGTTTCTTCCTCTGAAGTTGTTTGCTGTATTGATTCCCGTAATTCAGTTTCTTTTTGGTGTATTGCTGGCACTGATTTGTATTGCAATGTTTGTTCAGTGTGTTCACTACTTTCCTCTTCCGTTTCTTCTGTTATGATTTATATGATTCAGTTTCTACTCCATATTCTGCTTTAGTAATCTCTTTTGTAGTGCTCGCATATTCTTTTGTCCTGTTTTTTTAGAAGTGCCTGTAGTTCCTTTTTTCTAATTTTGTGCGTTCTACTGATTCTGATATAGGTTTACTTTTTTAGTAACAGACTGTATATTTTAGTATAATGCTTATTTTTAGGGACAGAAACTTCAGTAGTTCCTGGTAGCTGCTTGTCATCCTTACAGTATTCACATGGAGTTGTTTCTGATTCAGGCAGCTCTATACCAAACCCAGCTTTTGGAGTTAAATCTTCTGCTGTAGTTGTGTGATGGCTCACTTTTGTATGAGGAGGTTTACTAGGTGTCTGTAGATAACTTGTTAAAGTCGACCTATGATTGGAGATTTGTTTAGATGAGTGTTTAGTTTGAGCGACAGAAGCTTCTGATGTAGTAAAATCACAAAACTCACATGGAGTTGATTGAAAGTCCAGGAATCTATCTGCATTGACTAATAAACCCTCATCTTTTTCTGAAGTTACTCTAGTTTTTGCAGTGGTTTTTGAGTATTTTACTGGTGTAAATAATTCAATTTTGTCTTCTGGTTTTGATGTTTCTAATCCTCCAGTCTTCTCTTCAAATTCTGTTTCAGGAATTTCTGACACAGAAGCTTCAACTAAGATTTCTTCAGACTCTGTTTCAACTGAATGCTCTTCTTCCTTAGATACTGTATGTTCTCTCTCTTCAGGTTTTGTCTGAGGAATTTTTGTCTCAGAAGCTTCACTTAAAGTTTCTTCAGTCTCTGTTTCGACTGAATGCTCTTCTTCCTTAGATACTGTATGTTCTGTTTCTTCCGGTATTGTCTGAGGAATTTCTGACTCAGAAGCTACACTTAAGGTTTCTTCAGTCCCTGTTTCGACTGAATGCTCTTCTTCCTTGGATACTGTATGTTCTGTTTCTTCCAGTACTGTCTGAGGAATTTCTGACTCAGAAGCTACACTTAAGGTTTCTTCAGTCTCTGTTTCGACTGAATGCTCTTCTTCCTTAGATACTGTATGCTCTGTTTCTTCCGGTACTGTCTGAGGAATTTCTGACTCAGAAGCTACATAAAGTTTCTTCAGACTCTGTTTCGACTGAATGCTCTTCTTCCTTAGATACCGTATGTTCTGTTTCTTCCGGTACTGTCTGAAGAATTTCTGACTCAGAAGCTACACTCAAGGTTTCTTCAGTCTCTGTTTCGACTGAATGCTCTTCTTCCTTAGATACTGTATGTTCTATTTCTTCCGGTACTGTCTGAGGAATTTCTAACTCAGAAGCTACACTTAAGGTTTCTTCAGTCTCTGTTTCGACTGAATGCTCTTCTTCCTTAGATACTGTATGTTCTATTTCTTCCGGTACTGTCTGAGGAATTTTTGTCTCAGAAGCTTCACTTAAAGTTTTTTCAGTCTCTGTTTCGACTGAATGCTCTTCTTCCTTAGATACTGTATGTTCTATTTCTTCCGGTACTGTCTGAGGAATTTCTGACTCAGACGCTACACTTAAAGTTCCTTTAGACTCTGTTTCGACTGAATGCTCTTCTTCCTTAGATACTGTATGTTCTATTTCTTCCGGTACTATCTGAGGAATTTCTGACTCAGAAGCTAGAGTTAAGGTTTCTTCAGTCTCTGTTTCGACTGAATGCTCTTCTTCCTTAGATACCGTATGTTCTATTTCTTCCGGTACTGTCTGAGGAATTTTTGACTCATAAGCTACACTTAAGGTTTCTTCAGTCTCTGTTTCGACTGAATGCTCTTCTTCCTTAGATACTGTATGTTCTATTTCTTCCGGTACTGTCTGGGGAATTTCTGTCTCAGAAGCTTCACTTAAAGTTTCTTCAGACTCTGTTTCGACTGAATGCTCTTCTTCCTTAGATACTGTATGTTCTATTTCTTCCGGTACTGTCTGAGGAATTTCTAACTCAGACGCTACACTTAAGGTTTCTTCAGTCTCTGTTTCGACTGAATGCTCTTCTTCCTTAGATACTGTATGTTCTATTTCTTCCGGTACTGTCTGAGGAATTTTTGTCTCAGAAGCTTCACTTAAAGTTTTTTCAGTCTCTGTTTCGACTGAATGCTCTTCTTCCTTAGATACTTTATGTTCTGTTTCTTCCGGTACTGTCTGAGGAATTTCTGACTCAGAAGCTACACTTAAGGTTTCTTCAGTCTTTGTTTCGACTGAATGCTCTTCTTCCTTAGATACTGTATGTTCTATTTCTTCCGGTACTGTCTGAGGAATTTTTGTCTCAGAAGCTTCACTTAAAGTTTTTTCAGTCTCTGTTTCGACTGAATGCTCTTCTTCCTTAGATACTGTATGTTCTGTTTCTTCCGGTACTGTCTGAGGAATTTCTGACTCAGAAGCTACACTTAAGGTTTCTTCAGTCCCTGTTTCGACTGAATGCTCTTCTTCCTTAGATACTGTATGTTCTGTTTCTTCCGGTACTGTCTGAGGAATTTCTGACTCAGAAGCTACACTTAAGGTTTCTTCAGTCTCTGTTTCGACTGAATGCTCTTCTTCCTTAGATACTGTATGCTCTGTTTCTTCCGGTACTGTCTCAGGAATTTCTGACTCAGAAGCTACACTTAAAGTTTCTTCAGACTCTGTTTCGACTGAATGCTCTTCTTCCTTAGATACTGTATGTTCTGTTTCTTCCGGTACTGTCTGAGGAATTTCTGACTCAGAAGCTACACTCAAGGTTTCTTCAGTCTCTGTTTCGACTAAATGCTCTTCTTCCTTAGATACTGTATGTTCTATTTCTTCCGGTACTGTCTGAGGAATTTCTAACTCAGAAGCTACACTTAAGGTTTCTTCAGTCTTTGTTTCGACTGAATGCTCTTCTTCCTTAGATACTGTATGTTCTATTTCTTCCGGTACTGTCTGAGGAATTTTTGTCTCAGAAGTTTCACTTAAAGTTTCTTCAGACTCTGTTTCGACTGAATGCTCTTCTTCCTTAGATACTGTATGTTCTTTTTCTTCAGGTACTGTCTGAGGAATTTCTGACTCAGAAGCTACACTTAAGGTTTCTTCAGTCTCTGTTTCGACTGAATGCTCTTCTTCCTTAGATACTGTATGTTCTATTTCTTCCGGTACTGTCTGAGGAATTTCTGTCTCAGAAGCTTCACTTAAAGTTCCTTCAGACTCTGTTTCGACTGAATGCTCTTCTTCCTTAGATACTGTATGTTCTATTTCTTCCGGTACTGTCTGAGGAATTTCTGTCTCAGAAGCTTCACTTAAAGTTTCTTCAGACTCTGTTTCGACTGAATGCTCTTCTTCCTTAGATACTGTATGTTCTATTTCTTCCGGTACTGTCTGAGGAATTTCTAACTCAGAATCTACACTTAAGGTTTCTTCAGTCTCTGTTTCGACTGAATGCTCTTCTTCCTTAGATACTGTATGTTCTATTTCTTCCGGTACTGTCTGAGGAATTTTTGTCTCAGAAGCTTCACTTAAAGTTTTTCAGTCTCTGTTTCGACTGAATGCTCTTCTTCCTTAGATACTGTATGTTCTATTTCTTCCGGTACTGTCTGAGGAATTTCTCTGATTCAGACGCTACACTTAAAGTTCCTTTAGACTCTGTTTCGACTGAATGCTCTTCTTCCTTAGATACTGTATGTTCTATTTCTTCCGGTACTATCTGAGGAATTTCTGACTCAGAAGCTAGAGTTAAGGTTTCTTCAGTCTCTGTTTCGACTGAATGCTCTTCTTCTTTAGATACCGTATGTTCTATTTTTTGCGGTACTGTCTGAGGAATTTCTGTCTCAGAAGCTTCACTTAAAGTTTCTTCAGTCTCTGTTTCGACTGAATGCTCTTCTTCCTTAGATACTGTATGTTCTATTTCTTCCGGTACTGTCTGAGGAATTTTTGACTCATAAGCTACACTTAAGGTTTCTTCAGTCTCTGTTTCGACTGAATGCTCTTCTTCCTTAGATACCGTATGTTCTGTTTCTTCCGGTACTGTCTGGGGAATTTCTGTCTCAGAAGCTTCACTTAAAGTTTCTTCAGACTCTGTTTCGACTGAATGCTCTTCTTCGTTAGATACTGTATGTTCTATTTCTTCCGGTACTGTCTGAGGAATTTTTTGACTCATAAGCTACACTTAAGGTTTCTTCAGTCTCTGTTTCGACTGAATACTCTTCTTCCTCAGATAATGTATGTTCTATTTCTTCCGGTACTGTCTGGGGAATTTCTGTCTCAGAAGCTACCCTTAAGGTTTCTTCAGTCTCTGTTTCGACTGAATGCTCTTCTTCCTTAGATACTGTATGTTCTATTTCTTCAGGTTTTGTCTGAGGAATTTCTGACTCAGAAGCTACACTTACGGTTTCTTCAGTCTCTGTTTCGACTGAATACTCTTCTTCCTTAGATACTGTATGCTCTATTTCTTCAGGTTCTGTCTGAGGAATTTCTGTCTCAGAAGCTACCCTTAAGGTTTCTTCAGTCTCTGTTTCGACTGAATGCTCTTCTTCCTTAGATACTGTATGTTTTATTTCTTCAGGCACTGTGTGTACCGAATGCTCTAACATATGTTCAGTTGATATTCCTTGAGTCTTCTCTTCAAATTCTGTCTGAGGAATTTCTGACTCATAAGCTACAATTAAAGTTTCATCAGATTCTGTTTCGACTGAATGCTCTTCTTCCTTAGATACTGTATGTTCTATTTCTTCCGGTACTGTCTGAGGAATTTCTGACTCAGAAGCTATACTTAAGGTTTCTTCAGTCTCTGTTTCTACTGAATGCTCTTCTTCCTTAGATACTGTATGTTCTATTTCTTCCGGTACTGTCTGAGGAATTTCTGACTCAGAAGCTACACTTAAGGTTTCTTCAGTCTCTGTTTCGACTGAATACTCTTCTTCCTCAGATACTGTATGTTCTATTTCTTCCGGTACTCTCTGGGGAATTTCTGTCTCAGAAGCTTTACTTAAAGTTTCTTCAGACTCTGTTTCGACTGAATGCTCTGCTTCCTTAGATACTGTATGTTCTATTTCTTCAGGTTTTGTCTGAGGAATTTCTGCCTCAGAAGCTACACTTACGGTTTCTTCAGTCTCTGTTTCGACTGAATGCTCTTCTTCCTTATATCCTGTATGCTCTATTTCTTCAGGTTCTGTCTGAGGAATTTCTGTCTCAGAAGCTACACTTAAGGTTTCTTCAGTCTCTGTTTCGACTGAATGCTCTTCTTCCTTAGATACTGTATGTTTTATTTCTTCAGGCACTGTGTGTACCGAATGCTCTAACATATGTTCAGTTGATATTCCTTGAGTCTTCTCTTCAAATTCTGTCTGAGGAATTTCTGACTCATAAGCTACACTTAAAGTTTCTTCAGATTCTGTTTCGACTGAATGCTCTTTTTCCTTAAATACTGTATGATCTATTTCTTCAGGCACTGTATGAATCGAATGCTCAAACATATATTCAGTTGATAATCCTGTTCTGTAAAGTGTATGTTCTAATTCTTCAGGTTCTGTACGAACTGACTGCTCAGAAATATGTTCCGTTGATGAAGCTTTAGCCTCTCCCTCAACTTCTGTGTGAGAAATTTCTGATTCTGTTGTTTTACCGAAGGTTTCTTCAGATTCGATTGAATGCCCTTCTTCCTTAGATGCTATATAATTTTCAGTACTCTGTTCTGTGGCTTTTCTAAGAGTAATTGTTTCTTGCCATGATTTTTCAAATACATCTGTTACATTGTATTTTGGGGTATTAAACTTTTCAGCTTCTGTAAATTGTGTTGTTATGGTAGACGTTTCTTCAAATTCGGTCATTTCTTTTTCAATAGTTTGAGTCTTTTCTTTTAAAATTTCTTCTGTATTTTCTCCCATAAATGTATGGGAAATTTCTTTTCCTAATGGTGCAGTAAATTTTTGCTTAACGCTATAAAAGTTTGGTATTAATGTATGTAAAATTTCTTTCTCTTTTGTTCTTCTTTCTACTTCATATTCTGATGACAATACTTCTTTAGATTCTGTACCATGTTGTTTAAAAATACCTTCCGTTACTGGCGTACTGTGTGCTAATTCTTCACTCGCTTTTGTTTTAGGGGTATGTATATGCGAAATTATTGATTCTTGTGAAGTTTCTTCTATTTTATACCCTAAAGTTGTAAGATATTCAATTTTTGATGCTTGATCTTCTTCAGTAAATCCTTGTGATGTTTTTCCATGTGTATTTTCTGTTGAACTTTTCGTATGCTCATGTATTGCTCTAGTACTTTCTTGTTCTTCACTGAAAAGACTTGACAACTTTGTCTCATGTTCTAATATTTCTGGGCTTGCTGCTTCTGCACTTTCTGTCGATTGGTTGTTATTTTTTTGTTCAGATACTTCTGTCATCAAATCTGTTTCTAAAGAAACAGTTTCTTCAACTGGAGGAAGATTAGCTTCAACAATTTCTGCCACAGCTTCTTCACTCAAAGTAACCTTTTCAAATTTCATAATAAATTCCTCATCAGATTCTGGAGTTTCAAGTTCAGCTTGTTCTTCAAATTCAGTTGTACTTGAACTAGTTTTACTAGTAGCTATACTTTCAGTTGATGCTGTGAGTGTTTTTCCAGTTTCAATAATACCTTTGCTGGTTTTTTTGGGTGTAGTAAACTGGGTTTCTTTTGTAATTTCATCCAAGAAATTAATATTAGTGTTACCAGGTTCAGGAAGAGGCTCATCATTTAATTCTTCTATATCAGGAATTAGATCAAATATTGATAGAACAGTTTTACCATTATGTGTTGTGGTTTCAGTTAAATTTTCTGTTTGTGTTGAAGAAAGCGTTGTAGATGTTGTACTACTAACACTAGTTGGCTTGTTCTTATGCATTTCAGATTCTTTAGATTCAGAAGATGCTGTTGAAGTTCTTTGCTCGGTAGTTCTTGCTGATTCGTGATGAGAAGGTGTTGTCATTTTCTTTTCTGTAGCAGATTCTTTTGTTTCAACTAACCTACCAAAAATTGAACAATGATAATGTATAGAATATTATGAAGTGTAACCGTATAATGTTGAAAGGAATTAAAAAACAAAACAATTTTTTTTTTTTTTTTTATTTAAAAAATTAATTCACTCATAAAATGAATTTAAAACTGTTCTATCAATATTTGATCTAATTCCTGATATAGAAGAATTAAATGATGAGCCTCTTCCTGAACCTGGTAACACTAATATTAATTTCTTGGATGGAAATACACCCAAAAAAACCAGCAAAGGTATTATTGAAACTGGAAAAACACTCACAGCATCAACTGAAAGTATAGCTACTAGTAAAACTAGTTCAAGTGCAACTGAATTTGAAGAACAAGCTGAACTTGAAACTCCAGAATGATGAGGGAATTTATGAAATTTGAAAAGGTTACTTTGAGTGAAGAAGCTGTGGCAGAAATTGTTGAAGCTAATCTTCCTCCAGTTGAAGAAACTGTTATAATTTTAGAAACAGATTTGATGACAGAAGTATCTGAACAAAAAAATAACAATAATCGAGCAGAGAAGTGCAGAGCAATAAGCCAAAGTGTGAGCCTTGAGACAAAGTTGTCAGAGTGAGTCTTTGCCTTTCAGTGAAGAACAGAAATTACTAGAACAATACAGAGCATGCAGTTCAACAAGTACACATGGAAAAATGGGATTTACTGAAGAAGATCAAGCATCAAAAATTGGATATCTTACAACTTTGGTTATAAAATGGAAAGAAACTTCCACAAGATGAAGCTAATTTCGCATATACCTTTAAAACAAAAGCAGGTGAAGAATTAGCACACAATTACGCCAGTAACAGGAGGTTTTAAACAACATGGTGCAAGTAAAATTGTCATGGGAATGCCAGTGAAGAGACAAAAGAAAGAATTTTACAAAAGA